TTGGGGGCTCCTCATTGTAATTCTAGTAGAATGGGCCCCAAAACCCTATTCTAATTAATTATGAAGGCCCCTATTTCAAAAGGTTGAAGGTTGCCTTCCCATTTGAAGTTGGAAAATCTACGGCTTCCACCTCTCGGCAGCATGTCCACATCCCGACTTCCTGTACGTTTAAAAAGGTCCAACAGCCAATGCATGGGAATGCCAGAACCTATTTATAGCCAGGACCCCAGGTACCTTTTGTTGATATCTTGTGGCCCTTTATAATGATTCAGGGTTAAGTATAACAGAGAGTGGCTGGGGCTGTTGGGGACTGGTCGTCCTTCATGAAGAGCTTCCGGTACTTTCGCAGACGTGCTTCTTCAAGGCCTTGATTATACAGGCCCCTTCACTTTTACGAAAGGCCTGAACTATCCTAAAACCCTAGAAACCTCAGATCACCAAAACCCAAAACCCAGGCGATGAACCCTGCAAACAGCGACAAAAGCTTGAACCCGATGAATGAAACCCTCACCTCCGAACTATGAGCCCCAAACCTTACAAACCCTGAGCCCTGAACGCTAAAGGCGAAAACCTAAACAAAAGCTGAACCCGAAAGCCCACATCAACCCACACCCTAGGACCCTAAGACCCTCATGAGAAACCCACGGCATCAACATAGTTTTCAGCACCCAGCCCTGAGTTCGTAAGCCCGAAAAGGCACGAAAGACCCTGCGCAGGCCCAAACCTTGAACCCCACAACAGCTTTATACACCTGTACAAGCCCTTATTTGTTGGCTTAGGGTTTAGGGTTTAGGGTTTAGGGCATCAAAATAACAAACAAAAGAACAGCAACGACAGAAACAAAGCTTCAATGCTCGCTGGGTCGAAGGGCGATCCAAGATCCGCTCCAGCGATGAGGCGCGACTTGTCGCGCTGCTTCGACAGCTGCCTCGTAGGGGTTTCGACTTCAGGGTCGTCGGGAGTTTAGGGTCTTAAGGTTTAGAGTTTGAGGGTTTCGGATTTTAGGGTTTAGGGTTTAGGATAGTATAGGCGATTCTTGGGGGTTCTATACTAACACTCGTCCAGCTTTGCCTCGGCTGGAGCTCCAGTCGTCGCAGCCCCAGGGCTGGGCCTCCCGCGTCGGGTTTCGGGTGCAGTGTTGCGTAGGGTTCAGGGTTGTAGGGTCCGTGCTCTAAAGGTTTTTTGGTTTAGGTTTTAGAGGTGTATACCTGTATACCATAAGGGTCAGAGTACTCCGATTATAGGACTCTGGATTTTTTTGGTACAAACAGCCATAAACAAGGACTTCTTGGATTTGTAGGGATAGAGTCGATGTGCTGGGGCTCAGAGGGTTTAAGAGTCGGGCGGCGTGTGAGCAAACGCTCCGGACTTCTCAACAGGAAGCGCATATATACATGCAATAAATCCATAATCCAATAACCCTCTGCCACGCGGTCTATAGCTGTGTTCAAGGATTTCTGCGACTTCGAGATGTTATGCAATCCTACTTGTACTGAGCTCGGTTTCTGCAACCTTCTTTCAAGCATCATTAACTCACGGTTCCTGTCGTGTTCGGGAGTGCTGTTGTAGCATTGTCTGCCGGCGTTGGACAGAACTGATCGACAACAAGCAACCAGCGCAGCATGCATGTCAAACAAATGTATGCCAAGTTAATTAACGTTCTCGGCTTTGCACTACTACTACTCCTTGCTTCCTCCAGTTTGCACGGGGCAGTGTTCAACGGTTTTTAGGCTTGCGGCTTGCTGAACTGATGGGAAAACTGTCTCCTAGTCTGATCCTTGTGGATCTTTAGGGTTTAAGGGCAACTCCAAACCCCAAACCCAAAAACCTGGGTTTAGGGCTTAGGGGTTTAGGGTCTAGGGTTTACCCAAAACCTACATCATACATCCTGAGGCAAAGAAGCTGTAGCTTCGACAAGGGGCGCCCAGGCACACACACACACACACACACAGAGGGTGTATATCAATCGGCAGAAGCCAAACCACTGACAGGAACCAAGGTATCCCACTAATTGGCCGCCTCTCGCATGCTCGGATACTCGTAGGTGATGTGCGGGTGACCAGGCTCCTTTGACCACTCCTGGACATACCGTAAAGGTGGTGTCAAAAGCCTCCCGGGTCCAGGGCTTAGGGGTGGAGGTTCTGGGGTTTGGGGCTGGCTGGGATATACATCATATATGACGAGCTACCCAAGCCCCTCAAATCAAAAAGATCCAAAACTTAAACCAAGAGGTCTATCTGGATCCACTGCCGATGTCGGTTTAGACAGGCGTGTAAAGGAATGACAGCCTTACATCCAAATCCGAAGCAGCACAAAAGGCCCTAAACCCTGAATCTTAAACCGTTCATAGCGTCTCCCTAAACCCTACCTTAACCCCCAATAACCTACCTTCTTGAGGGTTTATATTCGGAAACCGAAATAAGGAACCCTAAACAGGTAGGTTCTTCTTTCGGGTCCAGGTAAACCCTAAACCCCTCAACTCCTGCACGCTGTCCGGACCCAGCTTGACGCATGCAGAGAGGACTAAGGCTTGGAGACGTCGGAAAACTTGAAGCCCTTCGCCGCCTGTCGCTTGGGTTTTGGGCTTAAATATCCACAACCCCAAACCCGTGAAACTTTCAAAACCCTCAAATCCTATATACATATATATACACATAGGATCTGAAGGTTTTGAGGGTTTCAGGGTTTGGGGTTGTAGAGTCAGTGGAGGTGTAATGTTTTGAGCTTTAGGCCCCTTGAAAAGTCTGGGGGTCTTTGGGATTCGCATTTAGCCTGTGACCTCAGGCTTCAAGGCCGCGGCACAAACGGTTTGCGGGTCATTTCACCCAGCACGGGAGTTTAGGGTTTAGGGTTTTAGGGGTTTAGGATTTAGGGTTTAGGGGTTTAGGGGTATAGGGTTTAGGGGTTCAGCCTGTGATGTTGTAGCGCTCTCCATACCAGCATTGTTGAACATGGACAGGGATCAATCTGAAAGGAAGGCCAGAGCATTTGATGTCGTGGTTCAGCTGTGTGAGCATTCCTGGGCTGTAGTTCGGGGGCCCCTGGAAAAATATGAATAGGTACTCTATAGGAATCATAACGGAAACTCTAAAGTTTCCCAAAGTGCAAGATTTTATGAATAGGTACTCTATGGGAATCGTAACGGAAATTCAGTGCCACCTAGATTCGGGTGACGTTGATCTCCTCGCCTGTGACAGTACGCTTCCAGATGGTCTCATCACTGACGCGCTCCGACTGGCCACTTTCGAGTTTCGCCAATGTCATGTGCGGGAAATCGAACTCGCTCTCCATTGCCAGAGGCGCCCGCTGGAATGCCCGGTTGACAACATGAACTTGCATCATGATGTACCTGCGGTGTCTGGGAAGCAAAAGTTGAACTCCTTCCACACCAACCATATCCGCAAAACCCTCAACCTTAAACCCTTTCAGCCCTGACCAAGTTAGCATCCTTATGGTGGATCACCAAGAGAGTACGGCACTCTTCGACTAATTCTTAAGACACCCTTTCGAAAAAACCTGAATTCAGAGAAAAGTCTCATAGGAGCCCTGAAAGTGCATTTCTTTCGTGCATGCCCTGATCGTACTCTTGTAACAATGATATATAGCATACCCCAAGACACGGCCACAAGCCCTTTCTAAGTATTAAGGCGCTTCTATTATTCAGGCTTCTCCCTAAACCCTAAACCCCAAACCCGAACTCCTAACTAAACTCTAAACCCTAAAACCTAATGTAGGGGCCTTAATAATTAGAAAAGGGTTTCGGGGTAGATTACACTATAATTATAACAAGGAGCCCCCCAACAATAGTATAGGGAATCATTAAGGCCCCTACATTACATTGCCAAGGCACCGGTCTAAGCAGAGGACCTCCCCCATGGCCAGGAAAGCCCCCGGGCAGTAGGCCACGGCATTGTCCACTTTGCCCAGACCTTGCTTCTTAGTAATATGGGGGCTTTAATAAGCAGGGACGTTAAAAAAGAGAATGGGGTTCCTTTCAAGGGCTCCCCCTAAAGGGTTGTATAAGGGATCTATAATAGGACTCTATGATATAGGGGCTTTAAAATTAGAATGGGGTTTTGAGGGTATATTATACTATAATGATAATGAGGAAACCCTCCAGAAATAGCATCGGTAATTTAAGGATTTAGGGTTTACCTTGACCCCAAACAACCTACCTTTTTAGTAGGGTTCCTCATAAGGGTGTTTTTTTTTATATAAGTCCTTAAAAAGGTTGGGTTCTGTGGGGTTAAGGTAGGGTTAAAACGACATTTCCACAGTTCCCATGAGGAAAACCGCGGAATGATACTAAACTCTACAATTCTACAAACAACCCCAAAGCTTGAACCGAGTGATGATAAGAGCTCAACATGTTCACAAAAAACGTGCGAAGAAGCTTTTGGTAAACTCGAAGGTCGTCGGCCCCCATACAGCCTGCGCAGCGTCAATAACTAGGAGTTGGGGCTTCGGGTTTAGGAGTTCTGTTCGAAACCTCAGGCAATCTAGTAAACAGGTTAAGAAGTAGAGCTGTAAGTATCCCAAATGAGTCACTTGGCTTACTGATAACGGTATGTTTATTTTATAACCTGTCTATCAAAAGCAGGCAAATCACATCTCAGACGGCAGTATCAGCTCGTTTCGCGTATCCCAATGGCAACGCTAAGACCGACTTAATAACGGTTCATGCGTTGAACCCGATAGCCCATATCTCTCACTCGCACATTTTGTGCATCTCTCTAGACCAATCCCTCCAGCCTTGCCTCCGCATACATTATAAACCATCGAAGACCGAAACAGCAACACCCTGAACCTTACATCATCGAATCCTGGCTCTCCTGCTCGCCCTCCAGGATCTCAAACGTACGGCTGATGATATAAATCCTGCATCACCCATAATAAGGAAGATACCGTAATTCCCATTGCTCAGGGTCCTTAAGGTTTTTGCAGGTTTTATATCATCAACAGTAAGGCGCACTTGTGACATGCCCGGGCTTAGGGTTTCCACTGGCCTTGCCAGGTGGTTTGGCTTAGCTGGTCAGATATCTTGAAGGTTTCCTTACTATACAGATAAAGACATAGATGCGCATGTGTGTGTATATGTATATATATATATACAGAAACAGATATAGATATAGATAGAGGTATAGACATACACAGACGGAGTCCTAAACCCCAAGCCCTGAAGACTGAACTCTACAACAAACGAAGCTATACATGCTGAAGTCTAAAGCCTATAAGCCCTGCTCCGAGCCGGTAAACCCGAAACCCCAAAATTTAAACCCCTAAACCCTAAACCCTAAAAGCCTAAACCCTAAACACCCTAAACCCTAAACCAAAAACCCTAAATCCTAAACACCCCGCCTCCTCCGGAGAGCTCCGTGGGAGCTCGTTGGCTGCGGCCGGCTCCTCCGAAGACGCTTCGAATGTCTGTTACTTCTATTGCCGTTACAGGGGTCCGGCAGCTGGTTTTCTGCGTGTATGCATGTAAGCATGGAATATATATATATATATATAGGTATATAAAAATGTTTATATATATATATGTATATATATATATATATACATATATATGTATATAAATAAATAAATAAATATATATATATATATGTATGTATATATATATATATATATGTATAAATACGAGTCGCATAGGGCTTTAGGAGGTGGGGATTCGGGTGTAGGCCCCTCGGCTTCAGGGCAAGGGACAGGGTAAGGTCGGGACCATTTTGACGACACGGGAAGGGTCGTAGGCGCAACAATTCAGCTTTCAGTACCTTTCAGGCTTAAGGCAGTTCTGATAACATAAACACAAACTTGTAGGTGTTAAAGCTAGGATTTGCAAGATTTTGTAAGGTTTACTGACGTACGACTGCAATATAACCCAGCATTGCAAGTGATCATGCTTCGATCGCATATGACTCTCGCATATTTAGGTGAAGAAACGACTGCCTCGGAATTTCCCCGCCGCAACCTACGACCTGATTTTACGCAGACTTGGATTTGCCGGTCTGTTTCCATTTCTTGTTTTTCGGATCTTTCTGTGTCTCCTCCCCTTTGAGCAGTAGAGCCAAATAATTATATCGTATGCCAAGCAAGGAACACGCCACGCGCTTTAGCCTCGCAGCGGTGAGGGGTTTTGTTGTTGGGCTTTCATACCCAAGCCTTTTGGAGGTACCAAAATTTTCCATAAAATCAGTGGTAGGGTAAGACCCTCCATGTCGGGTTTCGGATAAACTTCGCATGGTGCGGATCTCAGTTTGTCGGTCTCCGATTTCAGCTGCTTCGAACTTGGCTTTCCAACAGATTTAGTCAAAATTCAGGGCCAGGGTTTAAGGGGGTTTACGGTCAAGGAAAATATGCTGGCATTGCCATGAACAGTGTAACAAGCTGCGAAGTGTACGCGCGCGTGACAGCCACCGTGCCGCAATTCGCGATGTCTAAACATCGAACATCGGTCCAAGATGCAAGCACGCAAGACTCTTCCAAGAAGCCACAGATAGTAAACCGAGAAAACCCATAACTGTTCAATATAGTCATATATACAGCCAAGAGTCTACAGTTGTTTCTTCAGGCGGCATCGATGGCCAGACCCATTTCTCAGTTGCACCTGCAGGTGGCGCCGATGGCCATACAGAGTCCACAGTTGCGTCTGCAGGCGGCATCGATGGCCAGACCCATTTCTCAGTTGCACCTGCAGGTGGCGCCGATGGCCATACAGAGTCCACAGTTGCTTCTGCAGGCGTCATGGATGGCCAGACCTGTTTCTCAGTTGCATCCGAAGGCGGCGGCGATGGCCATACGGAGTCCACAGTTGCGTCTGCAGGGGTCATTGTCGGCCAGACCGATTGCTCAGCTGCAATTTCAGGTGTTGGCCGGTCCGCTGGTGCACCTGTGGGTGGAGTCGACGGCCAGACTGAGTCCACAGTTGCACATGCAGGAACTTCCGATGGTAAACCCGAGTCCACGGCTGCATCTGCAGGCGTCATCGATGGCCAGATCGATTTTTCAGTTGCACCCGAGGGCGGCGCCGATGGCCATAGAGAGTCCACAGTTGCGTCTGCAGGTGGCCCTGACGATGGCTGGACCGAATCACTCCGTGCTGCAGAACGGGACCAGTGCCTCTCTTGGGCAAAAACCAAGGCCCAAAAGCTCAAACTTGCTAGTAAGCACCAAAGACCCCCAAACATGTTTAAAGTTCTCCCATTGAGGTAAGAGTAAGCACTAAATATAAACGCCCAAAACATGTTTATAAAGTTCTCCCAGTAAGGAGGTAAGGTGCTCAAGGAGATCGGAGAAGCCTGCTTTAACCGAGGAGCTCTTCAGCCATTCTAGCTTTGTTGCAAGCTCTTCCCTGCCAAGCTCCTGGGACGCCGACAGAGCCAAAGCAAGTTTCGCCAGGGCTGCTCTATCCTTCACCAGGGGCCCGAAAAACTCTTTGGGTTTAGGGTTCAAGCAGGTGTTCCGGTTTGGGCTCCAGGTACACGAAGTCTTGGCTTTAGGGTCTTCAGTTAGGGTTTAGGATTTCATAGGATTTCTTTAGAGGGGCAACCGCATCAGAAAGGGCAAAGGGCAGGACCCCAGGAGAAACTCGACGAACAGTCGAGCTACCGACAGGCCGAAACGAAGTTCGACGAAGGTCGGGTGGATGCAAAGCTGTCACAATACAGGTCTTCTGGATACTCTGCCTCGTAAGGGGCTTCATACGCCTATATAATGTAGGACCCTTGTGTTGACGTTCATTGTTCCGCCCCCGTTCCTTCTTAACGGTTGCGAAGCCTGCACCCATCTCGTTCTTGCTGCATGCGGCAGCCATGTACGAGTAGCACCGCGTGTCGCCTAGGTCGTCCAGTTCCTTGATCTGTTGCAGGACCCGCTTGTACTCTCCGCCTTGCGGTTTCGGGTTGAATATAGGGTCCTCAATAGTTGGAACATAAGGTTCTTTGGGTGGTATCTTATACTTATTATAGTTTATAGTAAACTGATATATAGCCAGGAACCATAGGGACTAACATCATAAGCAAGTATCCCGAACGCTCTGTTATAAAGCAGATAAGGGCTTCACTTATTCAGCTCCGTGCCATGCACTGGCATGTAGCAACCAGGGCCAGGGTCTCAACTGCGGAGGCCAGTGCTAGCCCTAGAAGCCATAGTAATCGTCGGTTAAAGCTTTCGAGCCCCATATAGCTATCCCGCCATCTCTCTGTTTCTCTCTCTCTCTCACACACACACACACTCTCTCTCTCTCTCTTCCTCTCTCCCTCGCTTGTTCTCTCTTTCGCTCTCTTCTCTCTCCTTCTTTCTTTGTTTCTTCCTTCCTTCCTTCCTCAATTGGTTCCTTTCTTGCATTCTTTGCTTCGTTCTTTCTTCCTGCTTTCCTTCCTTGCTTCCTTCCTTCCTTCCCTCCTTTATGTCTTTCCGTCTTTCTGTCTTTATTTCTTTGTGTCTTGCTTTCGTTCTTGCTTTCTTCCTGTATTTATGTCTTTCTCTCTCTCGCTCTCTCTAAGTGCGCGTGTACAGAGCTCCTCGGAAGGTATAACGAGGATCCCTAAGGAAACATATTGGCAATTATTCAGCCTTCTGGACTAAGTCAGCGTTCGAAAGCCTCCAGGGCTCTCTACAGGGAGGGCTTCATAAGGGGTGTCATATAGGGGCCTTAATAATAGAATGGGGTTTGGGGTGTATATTACACTATAATCACAACAAGGAACCCCCAAAACCCTAATTATTTAGGCCTCCATATTATGGCAAGCACGAAATGTTTCAACACACTGTCCCAGGCTGGATTTGGCTGATCACGATGCCTGCATCATCCAAGTGTGGGTAGTCCTTGACGATGATGCCTTAGGGGCTGAGTACCCTAGCCCAAAAAAGGTTAACCTTTTGAATTATAGTAGGATTATAAGAGCCCCCAAAAGGTTAAAGGTTACCTACTCAGCCACGAAGATGCTGTCGGCACCCACGCTCTGTGCTATGCAATGTGCATGCTGCAGCAGGTCCTTCGCCTGGCACATCGGGTAACCCAACACCCCAAACACGACTTGAACTCCCGAAACCCCAAAACCGAAAACCCCTACAGCTCGAAACAGTGAAGCC